TTGCAAATAGAGATACCAAATTATTTTCTAAATACCATCTTAGCAATTATTGAAATACTTCAAGGGACAGATATTTTATGCCTTTTTGCAATTTTGCCTTGCATGTTATGTATTGTAGATGGCAGGTGGGAAGGAGGTGGGGACACATTCAGTATTTAAACATTGAGAACATTTTTTTCTATAAACATTTAAATAGAATGATTTGGCTTACCAGTTTTCAGTGGCTCTCTGCTAATTATTGATGAAGCTGAAAGGGATATAAATAGAAGACCCTCTCTGACTCTATTCTGCAACTGTAAAGGGCAGAATATGAAATGTCAAGGCTAAAATTTGTAGTTTCTGGCAAAGTGAAATAGGTCACTTTTTTTGTTTGTTTGTTTAAATTAAGGGAATAGTTTTGCAAGCAAGTCTTGACACAGGTCTCTTTGCTTTGAAATTTTAGGGTTCTGGAGACACATACACACATACACACACACGGAGCCTGAATATGTTGTTTGTTGTTATGTGCCTCATACAGACCATATGTACAAGAGCTCTAAACGCCATTCTATGCTGTGCCAATCTAGTCATTTCAAATGCACTCATTCCCACCACTCCAGTCACAAAATCGATCCATCTCATTGAAGGTCTTCCTCTCCTTCACCGCCCCTCTACGCTTCCAAACATGATGTCCCTCTCGAAGGATCAGTCCCTCCTAGCAACATGCCCAAAGTATGTCAGATGAAGCTTCAGACTCCAAGGAGCATTCTGGCTTCACCTTCTCCAGGAAAAACCTGCTTGTTCTCCTAGCAGTCCATGGTATAGTCAACATTCTTCTCCAGCACCACAGCTCAAAGGCATCAATTCTCTATCATCCCTATTCATAGTACAACTCTCTGATGCTTAGCACGTAATTGCGAAGACTATAGGCCAGATCAGGTGCACCTTAGTCTTTAGCCTGATGTCATTGCTCTTCAGTACTTTTGAGAGGCCCCTAACAGCTGACTTTCCCAATGCAGTTCATCTCTTGATTTCCTGGCTGCTGTTAACGAGAGTGTTGACTGTGGAGCCAAGTAAACTAAAACTGTTAACTACCTCAATCTCTTCACCATCCATATTGATTCTGCCAATTGGCCCAGTGGTGAGATCTTTGTCTTCTTGATGTTGAGCTTCAATCCATATAGGACGCTGCAGTCCTTGACCTTCCATAGAAAGCACTTCAGGTCCTCCTCAGTTTCAGCAAGCAGGGTTGTGTCATCTGCATAACACAGGTTGTTGATGACTCTTCCACCAATCCTGATGACACATTCCTCCTTGTACAGCCCAGTGTCTCTGATGATCTGTTCTGCATACAGATTGAAAAGGTATGGAGACAGAATACATCCCTGACAGACCTCCTTCTTGATTTGAACCATGTAGTGTCTCCTTGCTCTGTTCTGATGACTGCCTCTTGGTTCAAGTCTAGGTTTCACATTAGCACAATCAAATGTTCTGGGATTCCCATTCTTCTCAGAGTCAGCCACAGCTTTTGCATAGTCAATCAAGCACAAATAGGCATTCTCCTGGTATTCTTTGCTTTCTGCCAAGATCCATTATTAACTATAGGCGAGCTCTGGTGGCCTAGTGGCAAGAAGGTGTACTGCAATCCCAGAGGTGCACGGTTCAAATCCACCAGATGCTCTGCTGGAGAAGGAGGAACAATCTCCTCCTGTACCAGTCAGATGTGATTTG